AGGTGCACTCAGAAAACTTCTAAAAGCAATTTTAGCTTTCAGACCAACTGTACCCCACAATAACTAGCAGCTTTGGAGAGCCATGTCATCTTCCTCCTTCAACAATTCTTATTTTTAAGGTCTTCTTTTTCCTATGTATAAATTTAGTTCTACCTTAAATAAATTTAGTTCTACCTTTGATACTGCTCCTGACCAACCAAGCAACTGTTCTGACAAAGCACAAGATGAAAGGTTCTTGACAAAATTACACATTGCTAACTGCCAGTTTCCAAACAGCAGTTATTTTAAAAAATCACAGATTCTCCCAGCACTGCACTTTGCATCCATCTGCACTGCCTTGACAAAAGGGGCCATTTTGTTTCCTTAGGAGTCAGAGCAGCTGCTCTGACTCAGCGGAATCGGTGTCTAACAGAGGGAAACATCTCAGAAGATGTTGCCCACCTGTGTTGAAATCCAGAGCAGGATTGTTTTTTCTGTTCTCATCACGTCAAGCAGCTCAACTGAATTTAACTGCTGAGAGACACACAAAGCTCTGCCCTACACATGATGAGATGTGAGTGAGGACAGCTCCCTCCTGTTCAAAATGCCAACAGAAAAAATGCAGTGAATCCAACTTTCAGTCACTGCCAGCACAGACAATTGACAAATACCTTCTTACCCCTAATTCACTGCATCTCTGCATGAAAACTATCTTCCTTTTTTTTGTCCTCACTCAGACTTTTTTAAGCTGGATCACTTTTTCCATCACTTTCACACTGTACATTTGTCAAAGCATGTGCCAGCACAGCTGAAGTGTCACTTCAGCAGCCTGCATTAAAATACAGCCCTGTCAAAGCCCAGTCCTGGAGCTCAGGTCACCCAAAGCTGAGCCCAGCCAACTTCACTCAACCTCTAAAAGAAAAACCAAAAACTTCAAAGGACCAGACAAATGAGATTTATGACAAACTTCCATGAAAATGCCAAAGCAGAGACATCTCTGAGATCCTGATTTTCTTCTAGCTTCATGGAAGCTTCCAAGGAAAACAGAGAAGAGAACAGCCCTTCCAACATCTTTCTTCCTGCCCACAAATCCAGCTCTTCATGGTTTCTCCAGACTTAAAGATCTCTCAGTAAACCTGGCATGACTGTGTTATTTCACAAGTATTTAAAATATGCTGCATAAAATATTTTTTTAAATTAATACTAATGTCATTTAGTGAAACAAAGAGCAATAAAAGCACACAGGCTGCTAATAGAACCCAGGAGACAATCTGTGGTCCTATAAATGCTGAATGGTATTTTTACAACTGTTACTGCTACAATTTACAACATAAATGAAAGCCCTGTCCTTGAAAGGAGCAATAGCTTCAGGGTGAAATGTTTACAGGAAGCTCTGCTGAAAGCCACTCCTGCCCTGTTTAACACCTTCCACTGATCCTGCCCCCACAGTGGTCACACTGAACTCCAGCACTGCTCCTGGTCTAGCTCATCACCCACCACAGGGAGATGGAGAGCTTCAGCCAAAGCCTCTCCCAACTCAGAGCAGCAGCCTGCTGCCCAAATCATGCCAAAGCAACCAGAGAGGACAATGCTTGCTAGGGAAGGAGTAGAGAAGGCTGGGACTCCTTGTGTCAGCACTGACAGCAAGGAAAAACAAATGGAACACATCATAAATTAAGATGTCAAAGTTCAGCTAAAGGAGGTTCCCAGGTTGCCTTATATTTTTTAATCTTCCTTTCTCTCCAGAAAATAAGTGCTTGAAAACACCTGCCAATTATTTCACAGCTAATGTATTTAGTGTTTACAGTTACTGCAATAATGCAGACTAGAATTAGTTCCCACCTGAGTAATCATAACTGCAAACACAACAGCAAATGGACAGTGGCTTTCTCCAGAAGTATTTGTACAGAATTGTATTCCACTAAAACCTTCAACTCAGCTAACAGGTCCAGCTTTTGGGGTGAAAAAGGGAAAAGTACAGCCTGGTCCAAGTGGACTATTTCAGGATTTCTTCTGCATATGGCACCCAATTTGGACAGCAGTCTATGTAAGAGCAGTCGCCTTGCCAGACAGTAACTATTCTCAGAAGATACAATAACAAAATCAAAGAGTCACTGAGCAGCTAAAATGTCATTACATAAATAACTGAACATCTGTATCTGTCATTTCAGAATCATGCCCTACACTGATGTCCTGTGCAGTCTTTGGCAATGTCTATTTTCTATTCTTTAATTATCCTTCTTTCCTACTTGGATTTCTGGAAATCTCAAGCACCAATCTTGCTATTCTAATCTCAAAGTGCCAAAGGAATAGTTAATGCTTTTGCAACACATTTCACATGGGAGACTCTCAAAGTAATTTAGCAGCTGCCAGTATCACACAAAGCAGCTGCCACCACAGCAATGCAGGCACTGGGGGCTCCCTGAACCTGCACCACCTCCAGCAGCGTTTTCCAGTGAATCAAACAAGCAATGCCTGGCTGAAAAAAATGGGATTTTACACCATATATATATATATATAAAAACTGGGTCAAATTCGGTACTTGGACAACAAGACTGAAAAACAAATTCCAACCATTCTGAAGGGGAGAAATTCTTTTATTTCAGGCACTAGGTCACAGCTCCTCACAGAGCACAGAAAATAAAAGGTCACTGTGTCTTTCCAGCAGGTATCCAGAAGCCAGCAAAGGCAATGAATTGGAACTGCCACTGAAACATATCCTATGAGTCTGTGAGGTACATAAATTACTGTATTTGCAAAACAAATGTAATTGCAAAAGAAGCCTACAACTTCACTTTTAATTATGTAAGTAAATGAATCCTAAAATTATTTAAAAAATCAAAATGTCTGATAAATAATTACTTCATAAAATCTAGCAAAATGGTTATTTGCTCAACTGTTAAACCATAAACATTCTCATATAGGCTCAACTAAAAATATACATTTTAATCCCTGTGTGAATAAACTAATTAAAACAAATATTACTAATTTCAATACCACTTCTTTCTGCAGACATCTGAAAACTATCTCAATGTATATCACAAGCACTTATGGAATAATAAAACAAAGATACCAAAGGGGACACACGCTGTTCAGCCCCCCAAGATTCCCCAAGTTGTTTTGTTTTTGAGAAATAAATCCCAAGAGATAAGGATGTCTTATTTTATTTCACTTTTCAACAGAAACATTCCCATGGATCCAAGCAGGTACTACCCCTATTTTCTGTGGCACATACAATAACACTGACAAGAAGGAACAAGCCAGATCCAGATGTAAAGTGGAACATGGCAAGGATGTCTGGAGGAACGGGGAATGAGGGGTGAGGGGATGCACAGAGGTGGCAGTGCAGGTACAGACTGTCCCCAGCAGGCCCTGACAGATGAACAGTCTGACCTTACATTTCCTAGGCGGCTTCCATGGGATGGAAGAGTTAACTGCCTGAGCACACCTCTGCAGGACTGACATCTAGGACAGAAAACAATCCCTATAAATTAATTATTACTGAATATTGAAAAAAGAGTATCATCAGTACAGAAATAGCAAATGACAGAACACAAATAGCCTACGATGTAACTGCAAAAAGAAAGGAATCACATCTGGCTTGGTGTTCTGTACCACGCTATCAGCTGCACTCATCAATAATTAAATATTCCATTTCTAATTATACTTGAAATCCCAAAATGTCCTATTCCCTGAAAGCCACTGCCCACAAATTAAGATCTATTTTACTACTGAAGTTTTCTGTCCAGCTCTTATTTGCCATTCCAAGCCAAAAGCAAGATTAAAAAACTTTTCTTAGCAATATTTGGAACAGATTGTAACAGGGAAACAAAAACAAAACACTCCTACTCTAGTATCAACTGAGTAAACATGCAAAGACTTTAAGTAACTACATTTCACTACCAACTGCATTAATTACTACAGTTTCTTGGCAGCAAAATAAAATTTAAAAAAACTAAATAATCCTGGTCTTGCTTAATAAAAAGATGGGCAAAAATTATTCATTTGTAGCACTGGAAATTCCTGAGCCATAACACGGCTTTCCCTTTGAATGACTTACACACTCACACACCAAAACCTGGAGGATTTATATATTTCTGACCTAAAACCTGAAACGAAAGTGAATGAAAGGGAGCAATCCTCAAACCATCAGCGGCCAGTGCACCCCCCAAAGTATCTCACCCTCCACCCTCGGGCAGAGGCGATGCCGGGGGCGCAGGCAGCTCCGTGCTGTGCCCGCTGCTCCAGAGCACAGCTCTGGGCCAGGTTTTGCAGAGCGGCTGCGCTACCCGCGCTCCTGGGCTGGAAATCCAGCCAGCAGCAAGCACAGGAAGTGCAGAGGGCTCCGTGAAAAGCGCGGGGAACGCCGCAGCAATTCCATGAAACTTGTAATTTCACCGCGCTTCAAAAGAACCCACTCCATCTCAATTCGTGGTTTTCCTTCCCACCCGCGAGTTGGAAACTCACCCTGCGCGGGCTTCAGCCCACGTGGAGAGAGGGAGGGAGGGCAACGGAACGAAAGCCGTCGGTGGGCACGGCTGGGCTCGGGCATTGCGGGCCGGCACAGCGCCGCCGCCGCCGAGCCCCGCGCCCTCCTCGGCCGGGCCACGGGGACAGACACGTGCCCGGGCCGGTCTCGAGGAGCGGGCGTGCCCCGCAAGAGGCCCGGGACCCCGAGCCCCCATCCCGCCCCCCACCCTGTCCCGGGGCCCGCGGTCACCCCGGGCTCAGAGCAGGCCGCGCCGCCCGCGCCTCGCCGCCCCGCCGCTACCGGGCCCCGCCGCGGCGGCAGCGGGCCGCGGGCCGCGTTCCCCGAGCGCATCGGAGCGGGCCGCGGGCCGTGCCTCCCGAGGCGAAGGGAGCGGGCGCGGGCCCGGGACGCAGCGGCCTCACCTTCCCGGCGGGTTTCTGCGAGCCGCCGGGCGCCTTGTCCGCCATCTTGCCTCTCCCTTCGCCCAGCCCTGGCGGCGGCCGAGCGAGCGCCGATCCCACCGAGCCCGCGAGCGGAGGGCGCGAAGCCGATGGCCGAGCCGCCGATGGCTCCCCCCTCCCCCCCGGCGCGGCAGGGCCGCCCCGTCCGCTGGCAGCGCTCGGCCCGCACGGCAGCGACGGGAAACGGAGCGGACAGCGCTGGGAAGAACCCGAAATGCTGCACCTCAGTGAGAAAAGCCCTTCAGTACTGAAAGGGCTAACACAGCACACCTTTTCTTACTGGGTTTGATATCACACTACAACTGCAAGTGTATTGAAGGCTGTTTAACTGGGGATTATAACCAGCCGTCACATCTATCACGAGTCTTGAATCCTCGTGCTTTCATGGATTTTCAGAGTGGAATATGCAGGGACTGAGATAATACTTAAGGAAAAGACAGGAAGATACAGGAAGTTAATGAAAGCTTTAATCCACCACCTGCCGACACGCACTGCCCTGTGAGCGGCAGGAGGGAGCAGGGCCTGTGCTAACAACCACTGGGGCACGGGAGAATGAAAGTCCCAGAAGGAAGGGGGGAAAAAAAAGCAAAAGGAAAGGTTGAAGAGGGCAGAGGCAACTGCAGAGGGCTGGAAGTTTATAGAGGAGGGCAAAACTCTCAGGAAACCTCACCGGCTGCAGATGTGCGTCCAAGTGTGCAGGGACATGGTCTGGTGAGAGCCGCTGCTCTGCCCGCAGCCGTGTCAGGGTGACGGCTCAGCTGCGAGCACGTCCATGGCAATGTCACCGCGTGTCACCAGCGCTGAGCACGCTGGGCAGGGCGGACAGGGCACAGCGGCGCGGCAGCGAGGCTCACGGCGGGCTGGAGAACGGCAGGGAAGTCTCTGTCCCTGAAGGGCGGAGGACGCGGGTCAATGTGCAGGAAGAGCAGGGCGGGCAGCAGGAAGAGCTCCCCGGGTTTGCTGCCCCGCAGGCGCCGCCAGGGGGCAGGCACGGCCCGTGCCGAGCGCCCGCCCGAGGCGGCCCGTGCCACGTGACGTGACTCCACCCGAAGTTACACAAAAAATGGTAAAATAAAAAATAACGCTCCCCATCGTTCCTTAGGTACGAGCTGCTTTATTCCGCAGTTCAGTCTGCAGCTGCAGCTGAGGCAGGGAGAAAGGCTACACGGCACCACGCGTTCTCGGGCTGCTGGCGCCGCCCTCCGCCACACAAGGCCGAATGTTCCGGTACCGGCCGGGCGGCCGAGGCCCCACGGAGGGAGGATTTGTACCGAACACACCGGAGCGACTGCAGCGATCAGCGCGTGCTGGTCCCATCTCCAGCCTGCAGGAGCCTGCACGGCTCTCTTGGATAAATTTGAGGAGGCATCACTGAGGCTTGGCAGGAAAGAGGGGGAAATCAAACCCACGCATTGACAGTCACAACTCCACCAGGCTTTTTTTTAGGATATTTTGAGCCCCAAACGTTCCCATAGAGGAGTCTTTCCACATGAAGGGATGGCGTTGGTCAAGGAGCATTATGGATGGATTAGGCAGGATTTACTGCTTCAGAATCCAAGCCAAGCCCTTCTCTTCCCCCATCTTTCCCCCTGTTTACTTGAGAACCATTTCACTGCCTTGCAGAGATACGGGATTAGTATAATCTGTGACCCGCTTTTGGGGTGGTTTTTAACATATTAGTGCAAACAGGTGCAGCAATGAGTTGAAAGCAAACCAGCTGGGGAACTTGGGGCCACAGGAGAAGACACTAGATGATGCTCAACTCTGCTGGCACCATATTAATAAACCTGGCATGAAAGATGACTGACACTTCTGGATGAGAAACAGACATCTAGCTGGAAAGAGGAATGTGCCTTTGGATGACAAGAGGTTTCGGTGCCAATAATGTTTAGAAAATTTGTGCTCCATTTGGCCTCAATCCCTTTATTTTATCCACCTCATTAATCCATTTTAATTATCCACCTCATTGTTCAAGTCCTTCTCTTACTGCTTAGCCTCTACGCTCTTTTGTAATTAATAAACTGCACCAAATTAAGAGCATCACAATCCAGAGCATGCTGAGAAAAACAGGAAAGAAATAGCTAAGAGTTTCAAAGGTCATCTCTAAAGATAATTTTTCAGAATGAACTGTACTCCTCAATCTGTGCTATTTATAACACATTGCAATAGTACAGTAGCACTTGTATACAGTTAGTGAATGAGAACACATGTCACGGTTTTGGGCTTCATGGGAAAGCGAGGGCAGGAAGGAAAGGAAAGGAAACTGAGATGCAGAAATCCATGGAGAATTAATGCTGGAAAGGGTAGCTAATAATAATAATATTTAAAAGCAAATTGTAGGCATTTTTCATTATAATGCAGTAGGTCTGGTTGCCTGCAGACCTGGGAATTGTTTATTAACTGTAGTCACAATGACAGGTATCATTAGGCAATATACTTGGAAAAATCACGAATTATCATAAATAATTAACACTAAGCTACATTAAGTAAACCACATGCTGCAGTGTGTTACACTTGTCTTTCTGGCTGCTTTTTTCCCAACTTTCAGAAGAAAGCTCTCCATTGCTCTCACTCCAGACCAGGGCACAGAACTGCTGCAATTCTTTAGCAAACGTGGGTGTGAGGGAAAGGGAGAGGAAGGATTTCGGGTGCTGTGGAAGTTCCCTAGCCTGTGGCAAAGGAAGCACGTTCGAGGCCATGAGGCAGGCAGATAGTGAGTAGGACAGGAGTGTAGCTGCTGGGTGCACAGGTTTGTAACTCTGTAGTTTCACACTTTCCTGCGTAGTTTCGCAGAGTGGCTCACAGATCCCTAAAGCAACCGGCTGTGTGTGTGTTCCCCAGTGCTTAGGCAGCCGTCTTCCAGCTTCTTCCCTCATTCCGCCCTGCGCCTCCTCCGCCCGCGAGGGTTCTCAGCAGAGGCGGCTGCAGCTCCGCCGTGCCCCGCGGGTTGCTAGGGAGCGCTGCGAGCAGAGGCGGGCAGCCCTCAGCCTGCCTCAATTGAGATGCCTTAGCAGGGACCACCGGAATAACGAAAAATAGCTAGAGGGGCTGTCTGGGAGAGAGCAGTTTGCCTCTCAGCAAGTCTGGTCTTGCTGCCACTGCTCTGTCTGCTCTCTGTCCCCTGGCAGGAGCCATCTCTGTGTTACTCCATCTCTCAGTGCTAGTGCTTTGCCTTCCCTAAGCTGTGACTGCTGCTCTACTCCTGCCATTCAGCAGCTGCTCTCCCTTCCAGGACCCCGCTGCTCTCTCCTGGGACACGTCTTATCAGGGAACCCGGGCTCTTCCTCCCGCTGGGATGCCTCAAGCAAAGAGGGGCATTACGCAAAGCAGTCACAGGGGCAGCATCTGACCTGCGCCGTCTGGCTGAGAAGGGTCGGTCATTTGCGGTGTAGTTTGCAGGCATTAGTGCAAATATCAAATGAAGGCTTAATTCCAAAAGTTCTCCTGCAGCTTCTTGTCAGAGCGAATTAGCCTACGTGGCTAGAATCCAGATGTGCACATCTATCAGCTGTTTTGAAAGCACGGAAGTTCAAGATTAGTGCAATGCCAGTCATTCCTTCGCCATACTGAGAGTCCCTCCTGTCAGGTTACTAACAGTGAGTAGCAATTTGTGCTCTGCAAAACACTCCCACTCTGCACATACAAACAAAACAATTTCTCAGTTATGCACTTTGTAAGTGAGGGTTCAGTTCTGCAACCCTTGCAAAGGACAAGCTGTACTTTGCTCTTACCACAAGCCCCTGGAATCTGGGGCAGCGGTGGATTTTGACCATGGAAAACATGAAATATGCACCCACCCGATACGTTATTCTTCATCACAGTGAAACTAATTTCACAGCAATACTTACGCTCAGATTTGCTGCTGTCAAGAAAAAGGCAAGTTTTACCTCAAATCTTTCAAAACTCTAAGAAGACAACTAAACTTCCAGAGAAATTTTCTTTAAATGTGAAGTATTTTAGCCAGTTTACTGTGCTTGGTGTTTTTTCAGATGGGTTTCATTGCTGGTTTTTAAAGCATAAAGGATACAAACCTGGAGATATTCAAGGTAAAGAGGGCAGGAAATTAGAAGCTCCTGATCACCAAGACATTAAAATGAACATTGCTGTGCAACTATGGTGTTGGTTACTGCTATTCCCATTCACAACATCTACCTTTTCTCTCCTCCAGCTGAAGCTTTAAAATATAGGTATCACTCCCATTTTTTTTATCTATCAAGGTATTAGCTTTATAGAGTATAATTGACCCTAGTTGGTTAGTCAAGAAGGAGAAAGTGATGCAAGGTTTCCTGTTTATCCAGTCTTACAAAGACAGTGGAGCAGAATCTTTAAAGGCAAGTTAATCACTTCAGTATTAGATCAAAGCACAGTGTCTACTCAATTATTACAAAGTATTGCAATCAGTGCAGTGAAAAGTTACCTATCAAACCATTATTTGCAAGAGATTGATACACACTCAAGAAAGGATAAAAAAACCAACACAGAACAAAAGGACTATTTTTGTATGTCCGTGTATCTCTTCAGATGTTCTCCCAGAGAAACTGCAACCATGAGGTACAGCAAACAAAGTTAGATGAGGCCAAAGCTTCCCTTTCTTTAATAGCTACTCTTTTTAAATAGAGCCAAATTCTGCCCTCTCTCTGGTTTAGTGGGGTTGCACGAAAGATGTCACAATAGAGTCAGAGTTACTAAAAAGGTTTCAGTGCAGAAGAAAAATCCAGAGGAAACAAAGAGGGTAAGTGTTTCTACTCAGATAAAACTCATTACTGAGAAAGAAATCATCAAAATCTGTCCTAGAAGTGAAGATTTAAAAATAAAAAAGGTATTATACAGGTGGAATTGTATGATGGAGGATTAAGTCAAGCAAGTTCTATTAAGACTGATATTTCCCAGCATGAGTTGAATTGGGTGAGGCTAAAGGTTTATCTTCAAAAGCATCTTAAATCTTCCAAACACCATCACTGCATATTCACATTAGGACTTTCTCTCTTTTTAAGTTTTTTTAAATCTAGTTTATTTATTCAAAAAAGCTGTGTATAGTAGGAGGGCTAAGTACAACCTCTTCCCTAGTGTGCTGAGTATGTTTGAGTGCAAAACATGCATTTAGCTTTTATTTTTTCATTTCCTAATCAAAAGGCATAATTTCACTGGGTAGGGTTGAAGTAATTTAGAATATTTTTTAGGGCTTCTGATATTTCAGACAAAATAACACCTCAGAAATTACTTCAACATTGAATAAAACAAAAGTATAATGTAGAAACAAACATTTGGTATCTTTTCCTTTGAGTCTTCATCCAGCTCTGATTAACATTAGCTTCCATTACTTACCTCATTAGGCAGCACCTTCATCAGTGCTTTAAAAGTCTTCTAAAAGGTTATTTGGAGAAAAAGCCTGCAGAAAATTCTACACATGGTAGGATTAACCATGGTATATGCTGACCATGCCCTTCTAAATATAAACACTGGTTAGAGAAATGGAGAGGCTCTTCATGCACTACATTACGTGGACTCCTCTCTGTGACCTCCAGATGTCCTGATTCTCCCTGGCTCACCACATAATAGTCATGTAATACTAACCTTGATGGACTACATATGAATAAGAGGCTATTTTGAGGTTGTAAGTGCTTCAAATTGTAAGGTTCCCTGCACACTATCCCACAGCTGGCTTGGGAGGAGAATACTCAATGTCAATGTAATATGTATGCAGTAGTCTTTATGAAAGCCCAGGCTGTCCTCAGAGATCATTCTCCCTGTGAGGAGTCTGCCTTGGAAATAAGCAAAAGACTGAGATCATTAGCAATGAGTTCCATGAAAGTGGCTGCTAAAGCATTAGTGTGTACCTCCACCAACAGTCAGACAGTCCAGTGTGCACCAGGACTGTCAGTGTTGAATCACAAGCAAAGCCCACCTGCTCCTCCCAGCGTGGGCTGCCCCAGTGGGCCATAAACCCAGTGGGTGTCTCCCAGGCAGCCAGGCCACAGCCCAGAGCTCCCTGAGGCCTGAAAGCCTCCCACATCCCTGAACGTGGGGAGGCTGCAGCAAACTCAGAACGTGTCAAACGAGCCCTGCTGCTGCTGCAAGGCCAGCAGTTCCCAATCAGCAGTGGATGCTGTCGTTCTCTAGACACCATCTGTTGCAACAGCTGCTGGTGGCTTTCCAACAGCCTCTTTAGTGCAGGTCTGAAACTGATTGCTCTCAGTCAACCACCCCTTCTTATCTAACCTTCATGAGAGAGACTGAAGATCATGGTCACTCTGGCCCTCTACCACAGGGCATGCAGTGGCATTGACTGGCAGTCTCACTGCCATATGGGACAGAGACAGGATCACCACAGCCCTCCTGGGAGTGCCTGCAGGTGTGGTGGGCTGGGAGCAGGACAGGGGTGGGTGTTGTTTAGCAAAGAGCCCCCTCCCCACTGCCTGCCTCTGCAGGGATGCAGCACCCAGTCCAGCATCTGGCCTGTCTCCTCTGTGGCCTCTCTAGTGGATAGCAGCACCATGAGAAGCCTGACCTCTACCAGAGGCAGAGCAGTTTCCAGTAATCCCCAAAAGCCTTTCCTCTCCCAAAATCCCACACTTCAGAGCCCACAAGGAGCTGGGCCCTGCTCACTCCTGAGGCTCCCTGCAGGGAGAGCCCTGTCAGTCACTCCCCAAGGAGTGTCTGCTTGCTGTGTCCCTGCACTCCAGCATGCATCCCCTCTAAAACACACGGGTACCAGAGCATATTAGGCCTGCGGTCTGAAAAATGTCTTTTGTTTAATATTTTGCTCCCTATGTTGGCTTCTCAGCACTGTTCAGTTATGCTTATTTTCTTAGCAGGTTTCCTGTGTAATTTTTATAAAGATTATAAACAGTGTCACCAGTCTGCCCGACTTTTTAATGAAAAATGCATTGAAAATCACTTTCAGCAATACACTTTTAAGACTTTATTTCTGCTAACTTAAAAAACTTATTTCTGATTGCCCCCTTGTTCAGAAGATTTTTCACATTGTTGTGATTCACTACCAAATATAAGATTTTAATGAAAATCTTTGGACAAAGCATTCTAATTACACTTGACCTCAGTTTATGTCATGTGACCATGCACGTATCTGAATATCACCATGTAAAATGTACTTTTGGCAACCGAGAACTATTGGATATTTAAGGCTATCTGAAAACAAACAAAAAGGAAACAAACACGTTGAAGCAGCAGAGAGCAATCCCTTAGTCTGGCTCCTACCTGTATCTGCATTACTGGTGCAGGTGCATTAACCTTTAATTTCCTTCAGATGCCTTAAGGAAAAGTAACACCCGTACAGCGCTTTCCCCCGTATTTTTATATTCCGATTATGTAACTGTGCTGCTTGCATAACTGTGACAATAAGTGTAGGATTTGCCCAAGGATCAACACGGAGCAGCTCCTGCCAGCCGTTCCCGAGTGTCCCTCCCAGCCGCCCCGCTCGGAGCGCGCAGATAAGGTGGGTGCCGTGTGTGTCAGTGACGCTCACCCCATGCAGCCCGGCCGGGAAGGTTTAGCCTAAAATAACGTTTGCATTCACTGCATGAGATAATGTCACCAAAGAAATCAGGTCTCAGCGGCCTTACCGAAGCACACAGGACAGACCGCCACCCAGCTGCCACCCGTCCCCTGTCTGGGGGTACTTCCCCGCTCTGTCGCGCCGCCGGGGATCCCCCAGCACCGCGGGTCCATCTCCCTTTTCCCGGGGCTCCCGCCGCACGCGCGGGCGCAGCCGCGCTCGGGGCTGGGCGGGCGCCCCGGTGCCCCCTTTGTGCTTTTTACAGCAGAACAGCCCCGCGGGCAGGCCCCGCACCGGGCAGTGCCGGTGCCAGTGACCCTGCGGCCGGGAAGGGGCGCCGCGGGTCCGCTCCGGCCACACGCCTCGCTGCGGGGGCTCTCACAGACCCGCCCCCCCGCTGCGGCCGCATCAATCATTAACGGCGGCTCGGGTGTCCAGCGCCTCCCACCCCGGGAAACCCTACCCGGGGCGGCGGGGGCGTCTCTTCCCGCTCCTCGGGAGCGCTGGATGCGCCGCCGGTCTCCAGTTACCGCGATGCCGGGCGGCAGGGCGGGAGGAGCCGCGGCGGTGCTGCCACTGCCCCTGCTGCAATGAGTGATGCTGCCGGGGGCGGCGGCGGGGGCGGAGAGGCGCAGAGCTACCGCGGATCCTCCGCCGGCGGCTGCGGGCGCAGCGGCTCTGCCTCGCCCGGTCGGCGGCGAGCCCGGGGCCGGCCGGGGCAGCGGCAGCATGCCGGCGGGCGATGGGGACAAGAAGGAGGCGGCGCCGCCGCCACCGCCGCCTCGCCCTGCCGCCCTGCTACGGTGGGATGAGGTGCCCGAGGACTTCGTGGAGTGCTTCATCCTCTCGGGCTACCGGCGGCTGCACTGCTCGGCACAGGAGTGCCTGGCCTCGGTGCTGCAGCCCACCAACGAGACCCTCAACTTCTGGACCCACTTCATCCCACTGCTGCTCTTCCTCACCCGCTTCGGGCGGCTGCTTCTGCTGCGGGGCGCCGGGGACGTGCCCTTCCACCACCCGGCCCTGCTGCCCCTCTGGTGCTACGCCTCGGGGGTGCTGCTCACCTTCGCCATGAGCTGCACGGCCCACCTCTTCAGCTGCCTCTCCCCGCGCCTCCGCGCCACCTTCTTCTACCTGGACTACGCCTCCATCAGCTACTACGGCTTCGCCAGCACCGTGGCCTACTCCTACTACCTGCTGCCAGGGCTGAGTCTGCTGGACGCCGGCGCCATGAGCCGCTACGTGCAGCAGCGGCTGGGCTGGCAGCTGGACTGCAGCCTGCCCATCGCGGCCTACCGCGTGCTGGTGCTGCCCGTGGCGCTGGCGCTGGCCGTGGGCTGCACGGCCGCCTGCTGCCGCAGCCGCGCCGCGTGCTGCGCCTACCCCTTCGCCGTGCGCACCTTCGTGTTCGCCATGCCGCTCAGCATGGCCTGCCCCATCATGCTCGAGAGCCTCTTCTTCGACCTCCGCGCACGCAACCCCACGCTCTTCGTCTACTTCTACCGCCGCTACTTCTGGCTGCTCGTGGCCGCCTTCTTCAACGTCAGCAAAATCCCCGAGCGGATCCAGCCGGGGCTCTTCGACATCGTGGGGCATAGCCATCAGCTTTTCCACATCTTCACCTTCCTCAGCATCTACGACCAGGTGCACTACGTGGAGGACGGGCTGGCCGAGTTTCTCAAGGCACCCCTGGCCGCCCCCACCTACCTAGGCACCGTGGGCTATATGCTGCTCCTGACCGTCTGCCTTGCCGTGGTCGTCAGGAGGTTCCTCAACGTTGCAGACATCTGCAAGCAGGACTGAGCAGCCCGGCGACCCTCGGGACAGCGACCGCCATGCCAGTGACCCTTGGCCTGGAGTTCCTTGGGCCGATGACCTTCAGACTGGTGACCCTCAGTCCAGAGCCACCATGTCCTGAAGAAGCTGTGACACCTGGGGAAACACACCTGTGGAAGAGCCAGGTCCCTTTCTTGGAGGTTTGCTGGAGAAAATGGCCATGGCAGAACTGCTCGTGCTCTTTAAGCTACTAGGTTACCAGGGGAAGCAAGCAAATGCTTACTGGTATGTTGCTGCTTAGAGTATAAGCTGAAATAATCTAGCTCTGCTACTAGGAAGAATGCATGAATGGTGAATGCCACTTACTAATTTCATAACAATTAGGTCTAAACTAGCTCTGTATATACATATATATTTGTATATCTAGCTATATATTTATTAGCTACATATATGTCTATATATATGTATACACCTGAAGACATTTGTGCAATGATTTCTCATAGACTTTTAATCAACTCCTATGTGAAATTTCCTAGCAGATTATGCACTGACATTTATCTTCCTCTCTGATATTGTAACAGGCCTTTGCAGCCACATACTGGATTTTAAATGCAAAGAAATCAATAGCTATCCATAGTTTCTAAGGTCTTGCAGCCTTTTCAGCCAGGGAACAATAGATTTAGGAGCGAGAGGAAAAACAGCTGTGAATTATTACAGAATTACCAGTTAATGGAGAGACCTTAATTAGACAGACAGTAAGTGGTTGGTGTAGCCACTCGGATACTAAAATAAAATAGAAGGATATGTAAAATAACCGAACCAGAAAGGGGTCAAACTGGTTTGGAACGGGGGCAGAGGAAGAACAAGGACCGTGCATAATGGAATGGCTCTTCCCTCAGCGTGTCAGGAACATCTGTTGTGCTGAGGGAGTTGCTAAGGGGCCCCTTTATCTTCCTGGGTAAATCACCCCCAAACCAGTCCTCTAGAGTCAAAGTCAGATGCCAGACTTTCTATAAACCCCTGCCAAGCTCGGTGGGAGTTCTGTGGATGTAAAGAGAGTAACTGATGCATGAGATCTCATTCTGGATCTTTTAAAAAAACTACATGGAACTAGTTTCTGCTGCTCTTTAATTAGAGCACTGTCATATTTACCATCCTAAAATTAGTTGCAGAATACGATACTGCTGAATCCGAGTTCAGCACCTAAAATCTGGCACTACAGGTAAAGGATACTGGCACTTCTTTGTCTTTCCCCACTTTTTCCTATTCTGATTAGTTGTGGCTACAGCTGGATGTGTTGAAGTCTTCTTTCAGAAACTTTGGGGGAGTTCAAAAACAAGAATTAGGAGGTGTTTTCCAAAGCAGTATCTTTTCAGAGCAACCCATGTGTTATCCTTGTCACAGGACAAAGAGCTAAGTATAGGCTGGATTTACTCTAGAAACATTTTTGTGAACCATGTGCAGATTTTAAGCAGATGCATTTTGCTTTCGTCTGACAGAACAAGTGCAATAATGTTACACAAGGGGCTTACCAAGCGAAGTTCAGGTGAGAAACTGCTTGTGTAACCCATTGTCTAAAGAAGGGTGGTACTTCCTCAGCAAACCCTTGTGTCAGACTGCATAATAGTGTAATAGCTGTTTTACTCAGCTCCTGTTGTAGAAGTGTATTTCTGCTTGGGTCTTTCCCATTTTCATGGACATGGCATCTGAATCCCAAGACAATGTTTTGAGTCCAGTTCTCATCTTCTGTAAGACAAAGTCTCCTTTGTTTAAAATGGGAATATAGGAAGGACTGTAGCCAGAGATTATGAAGTCACATCCTTAACATGGGTCAGAGTCATCACAGACCCAATAACTGATATGCCCTCTATCAATGTAACAGCTTTATGAAAATTTCTCAATTGAAGTGCATAAGCTAGAAGAAAATTACACTCATTCAATTTAGCTTTTATCTCAACCCATTTAAAGTATAATGGTTTGAATATTTTAGATTCTTAGCGAACGATGAAAATGGCCTAACAAATACTCTTTGCCAGCCACAATTCTGCTGGTATGTCATTTCTGGAAGGGTCAGATGTATTTTAAGGAGATTGACTAGAATTATCTGGAGTAGCAGTTCCCAAAGTGTGGCCTCTTGAGTTATTGCTTTTGGGCCATAAAAAACTGCAGAGCCTGTGTGAGTGGCTGTGTTCAGTTTTCATTTACCAACCTGCATGAAAAGAAAATGGAAACTACATGAAGTATTTTAAATTTTACCTATTTTCACTAAGTTTTGTCATAAATGTAGCATTGCTTTCTTCAGCTGCCAACAAAGCAGAAAATGATCTGCACCACTGGGAGAGGAGGCTGGTTCACAACAGTTATTCTTTGAAATGTGCTTTAATATTGTGAAAACCCTGAAAACTCACAACAGAAAGCCTGTGGATCAAGACCTTCAACCATGTCATGCTATGAATTTCCACAACTGCAAAAAGAGGCCAAAAATCTTTGAGATGGGGTGTATTCAAGTTAAAATAATAGAGGCATAGTAGTTAGAGCCCAATGACTCATCCAAACTAATCATGTAGAAAGGGTTTGCCTGGGAGATGCCACTAGCACATCCAACCAGCAATTAAAAACTAAGAAATAAATCTTAGGGACAGCAAACCTCAGCATTAGAAGGCAGCTCAGAAACAAACAGTAAAAGCCAAATGTAAAAGACCAGGCTTTCAAAGCATACTGTATAATGAATTATATTTGTGCTTGTCAGTCACAATGTAGAGGACATCTCAAGAGGGAATGTCAAAAATGGTTGTTGCTAACTTGTAAAAATACATTTGATATTTGGAGTTAGGCCACCCAGGGTCATCTATATATATCTCAACGACAGATAACAGTATAAAGTTTGGATTGCAACCAACTGCAATTTTACTGGAATCTTACTGCTGTTACAAGAGTTGCCTGTGAGCCCCAGTCACACTGAAGATTGGTACCTGGCTCTGATATTAAGAATATTGCTTCATTCAGAAGTTTCTGTTGGCAGATTGTTTAGGCACGTGTATGGGCCTGAGCACCTCATGGAATTATTTGTAAAAGCTGGTTGCAAGCACTGCTGGCTGAGCCACTGTAAGCAGGCTGCTGAATCCTGAGTGAATGGCTACAGGGAGATGTGATTACAATTTAAGAGTTCTAATTAATGGATTTTTGTTTGTCTGGTTTGTGTTAAAAAAAAATGTGACTACAAATTAAAAAGGTACAGTAAGTGTGGAGAATATCTAGGGAAATGTTACCTGAGTGTCTGTTCAGTGAAGGACATGCATGCAGATAATAGTTCCATTTGCTGTGTCCAATGGACAAAACTAATCTGAGATAAAAAGATTCAAATTGGAACAAGATATCTATAATTATAGTGCTTGAATTTGCTCCTATAGAAGTGAGTCAGCATTTGTGTGACTTGTAAGGGTGCAGGATAACTTTCTGGTGTGAAAGCACATGACTGAAGAACATGTGTAAGCATGTTCAGAGGCCTCACCTGCAGACTAGATGCATAAGGAAATCCTAGAAAACTAACTTGCTTGCAGAAGTACGTGTCATAATGTTTTTATAACCTGCCATAAGGTCTACACTGTGGATTCCACAGCTCATGTTTAAAACCAAAAAGGCTTTTTAGGCCTTTTGGAGTAGAATCTGTACAGGGATGGGAGCACAAGGTGGGGACTGGAGCACAGGGAGGTGGCCTGTAAATGCCTGGGTGTCTTTCTGTGTTTGGCCAGCACTGACTTTCAGACTGACACACCTGTGCTGATGTGAAGTGACTGTTGCTGGGGTCACTTCCCAGAGTGTTGGTGGCATAGACACCCTCCCTTGCATTCAGCACGTGCCTAGAACTGCAATCTACACTGGCAAATATTCAGTAAGCCTGGCTTCTGGGCACTTCTGAGTAGCCTGTGAGCTTCCAGCCATTCTTCCCGTAAGATCGATAAATCTCATCTGTAGTCACTACCCTGTTTTCTGTGGTGATACAGTATTTTTTCTGCAGTGTGTGTATTTGAATGTCACTATCCAGGGTATCTGTGAAGCTCTGAGCAGCCTCATTAGCAAGACTGGAATCTATATTTGGAAACAAAGGGAAAGGTTTCATCTGCATGCTGCACTTGTAGAAATGTAGCAGTTAAAAGTAGAAGTATGTTCATTTTTTTTGCTAAAATGGTAATTCTGCTTAGTTGTCCAAGTGTTATGCTTATTATTTATTTGCTGAATCCAGCTACTGTGTCAGGTTTTTGTCAACAGTGCACCTGCAGGAAATGACAGTATGAAAGTTTTACTTCATGTTTAAGTAAACTCTGAGGCAGCACATTCATGGAGCATTTTTGCACTAAACTCAGTTGATTACCATCCACATGCCTTACAGAAGCAAGTCATACCTGTAGTAATTGTCCAGATTAAACTGTTTTTTCATTGCCTATGAGCTTAAAAATGACCAAGTGGCCAGTAACAAGCTGAGGAGTCAGGCACTCCTGGGTTCTTATCCTTGCTTTGCCACTATCTGTTCTGTAATCTAGGGCAAGTTGTTTAAACTGTGTTCATTTTGAATGAATTTTAATTCATGTGAAACACTGGAATTGTACCAGGGTTGAATTTGACCCTTTGTGTCTCAGTTTCCACATCTGTAAGATGGGGAGAATATACCTTACCTACCTCGCAGGGTTGCTCTGAAGACTAGCAAATGTTTGTAAAGCACTTAAAAATGCAAACACCCTCCCAGGTGCTAAGAAGAAATCTTCCAGCAGAGAGAATGTTATATTTTCCCTCATCTCACAGGGAGAGGAGCATGAACGTTTCCAGATTGTGAACTCTTGGGACAAACCCTTGTCATTGCCATACTCCTAGGATGGTCACATCCTGTGTCTTTTGGAGCTGATGGCTCCAGAAATTTCCACTGGCTCAAGTGGGGGACAGTCAACACCCAAGCAGTATTCAACAGGCTGACTAAATGCTCTAGGGTCAGGAGTAAAGAGAAAACATAAATGACTTACATATGCTTTTCTTCAGAAATTCTCACTGGTAACTTGTACTGAGGAGCATTGTAACACCCACGAGGCCTCCTTGTTCATTTAGCCATGGATTGTATTCCAGTTACTATGAAACAATGCAGCAGGATTTCCCATCAGTGTCTGCAAGATTATGATTATGTCTCAGTTGCCATTGGGAATTTTGAACTACGTCAAACTTCTTACCAGAGTAAAAAGACCTGAAGTAAATGAAACTTTTAAGAAAAAAAAAAAATAATTTGAGAATATAAAATTATATTGATCAAACAACTTTCTCTTTTTCCCTCCTGTTCTGCAAAACCAACTACATGGAGTTAATCTTATGGTTGAGTGAAATCTGAACTGAGATCTTTTGACCACATATATGTACTCTGTCAAGAAGCCCTGAATAATTTTTCTACTATCCCACTCTGCCCATCAACTGGAAGGGCTGATACAAACCACCACTGACAAGAGGACCATGTTTTTTAGAGCTTTTCTAACTGGCAGCAGTAGCTGAGGGAAAAAAAAAAGACTACATCAAAGGGTTTGAGTGGTTTGTTAGTCAAGGCCTGTACCTTTAGAAATTCTCCCAATATCCAAGTATGTTCCTAGCTTCTGTTAGACACCTCTGAGTCAGGGCTGTATCACCAACACTCAAGTTACAGCTGAGACTTTACTCTCTCAGATGAGATGTAAGATGGTAGTGTCACATGCACTGAAAGATACTGACCTCCATTCAAGACACTTAGTGTCTTGGAGCTGGGTGTGGAATTAAGTTAAATAATTTTCACATCTTGCTTAGACAGATGCTGCTTCATTCCACTGAATTCAGTAATAAATTATTGACCAAGACAAAGGAAGTAGGCTTTTGCTTAAAGTTGCCTGGAAGGGAACACCACCAGCAGACTTCTGCTTTCAGGGCAATTGCTTCCTGGGCCGTACTCAGAACATTGAGGATTCTGAAGTAGGGCTTTGCTACTTCATGGGAATGCCTTAGGATTTGTGGTTGTAGCTGGGGGTTATTAGTACAGAGAAACAGTTTATAGTAAGTCAATTCTGTCTGCTAGAGGTTCAAGCACGCTTTAGTAGGAGGTATCATGTTTAAGGGGCTGTGCATGCAATGAACAAAGTGTGAATTTCGTGTGGTTCTGTTGGGAGGGTTTGAAAATTTACTCTTTGTACACTTTTGGATGCTGACTACTGTATATGTAATGACTATGCATTTTTAGCAAAAAAAAGGGTGTGATCTATAAATAAAGTTGATTCTGAGTTCATTTTTGCAGAAATGCATTTATAAAGGCTTTTCTCATTTCTTTGTATAATTTACTGTGACACCTGTAGAATCAGAAATGTGTTGAATGTAGTTCTCTTCAAACACAGATGATGTTAGCATGAGTACAGGAACCTTCAGTTTTTATATAGGGGCAGAGGGGTGTTGGTATTTCTGAAAACACTATACTAGCAAAAATATCATTGCCATTTTGTTTCTTTTATATTTCAAAGCAATAGAATAGCATTCTTTGCCATTTTAGTTTTCTGCTAACTAATTATAGACATCCCTGTTACATTAACATCTAATACATTAATATGTATTAGAAGATTAGTGTTCAGCCTACAGTGCTCCCTGAAAAATCAGTAAATTGGTAGCAATAGCAGTGTATAGAATCAGCAAAATATTGACTGCAAAAGGAAGAGGTCTATCTGGCATCAAATAAAGTTTCCTATTTGGCAGAGTAGGATGGCAAAACACTGTTTTCAGTCCAAGTCAGGCACTAAAAAGCACTCGGTGAACTGCAATTACATAAAGTATCTGCCTTAAGCCTTTTCTGTCAAAATTCAGCAGGACAGGATGTATCCCAGCATAATTGCAGGTTCCCCCTTATAGGAACACAATGGAAAACTGTAGGATCTTCTAGTTAAGGTGTGCAGAATTCCTTCCAAAATTCTAAAATTCTTGAGATTCTTATTCGCAGACACTGTACATCCTATTTGAAATGTGGCAATGACTTAAAGGATTTGATGATTCCAGCAAAAACCTCCATTACCCTCTTAGAAGTAGATACTTCAAGAGACTACATCCTGCAAATAAACAAATACTTCAAGACTGCATCCTCCTGTTAACAATTAAGGGTTTTCATAATGTTATCAGTAAACTCTGGATCTGACTGCTGGACATGAACAGGCTGGGGGAAAACCTCACAAAACTGATGAAGCCAGTGAAGATGGCAAAACAGTGAGCAGAATGGTAAGCAACAAAAAGCTGCTAGGACAGGTAATTTAT